TTAACCTCAGTGCCCCACTTCACAGCAGAAGGGCAAAGAATCTCATTTAACATTTCCTAGGCTTCAGAATTTATTGTACTTTGAAGGAACACTCGATAAATTATTTAGACAGTTCCAACTGAGATTGGAGAAACCCCAGCCTGTCGTAAGGTAGGGTAAAAAACCTTGCTACTATATAAATAATTTACTTCTTGGGGGAGGAAGAAATATTCAAATGCCAGTGTCTAATGTAGAAAGGTACTAAACCTGCTGCAGATAGCTAAACAGGCCTTGAATTTCAGTCAGCACTACATATACAGTGCTGCCATTTCAAATCAAGGTCTAGCAACATTTAAAGCTGTACTTATTAAAAGGAGGTTAATACTAAAGCTTAAAAAGGCCCTTTGCCTTTAGATATTCATCAGTTTAACATAGTGAACATATCCAGATTTAAAAATAAATTCTGCAAAAATACTCTCTTCAGTTGTTTCTCCTTGTGACTAAATTAAGCAAAATAAACTTATCAAATGAAAGTGTTGTTGTTATTTTTGTTTATTTTGCTTTGTTTTTGTTAAATGTCACTATTAATTATGCAAAGGAGAGTATGCCAACTTTGGCATAGTAATGATCACATCTTAATATATGCATTCGTGGTTCAAGCTCTCATTTTTGGTTGTTTAACTTCCCTAAGACAACTTCAGAAGTTTCTTACATGGAAGAATTGTTGTTGTTGTTGTTGTTGTTGTTGTTGTTGTTAATTAAATTTATTATGATAAAGCCTAATGATGCACCAAAAATATGCAGGGCCTAGCATAATTAGGTTCAGTCACAGAGCAGCAAACAGTCCTTGCCCAAGAAGCTTAAAATTAACCTGGAAATAGTGGGAAAATATTTTACACCTTCTTAGCACATCTTGTATTTAAGTAAGTACCTGAGCATTGAAGGACAGAATTTGGCTGCAACAACATATTAAATTCTATTGTGACATTCCAGACAAAAGATGTAATAATTTGATTGATGTGAGCAGAGTTATCCTTGATTTATATTGGTATAACTGAGAGTAGAAACTGATCTAACATAGCAGAATTTACCTTTTCTGGCAGGTATAGAACAATATTACTTAAGGGCCTCATTCTCTGAAGGGTTTTGCTCCCTCATTTCTCATTTTGTTTTATGGAACATAAGGGCTCTCAGCATCTTGCAATGGTCAGAGCTTAATAAATTTTTTTGTCTATTGGCTTCTGGCCAGTATGAAAACTTCTAATAAGTAACTAATCTGCCAGTCATTAAGTAATAACTTCTTGGAACAAAGATGCCAAGTCACATCTAAAAGTGACAGCATCTATACAGGGAACCCAGAGCATATGTATTGATTTCTATTTTGCTCATTGTTAATGTCCTCAGTTGAAAGAGATAATGGATGATGTTTCTAGGTGTTTGACTGATGAGTGTATTTTCAACATCATCTAATATCTGTGGATAGCAAGAGAAAATAAACATCCACATCAAGCCCTTCGCCCTAATGGACTGCAGTTCAATAGAATGAGGCTTTCATTGGGTTACTGTACAGGAAAAAAATGTAGCTACATCTTTGATCTGCCTCCTACTCAGCCCCAGTCACTCAATAGCCAGAAACAGTGTTGGTTTTGAGGGAATCTCCCTCTGTCTTCTCAGATAACAGGGTCCCACCATTCAGGTTTTGATGATTTGGGGGTATCTGTCTAGATCTCTATATCTCTTGTGTTGTTAAGTGAGAAGTAATAGAGATTTAGAATTCCATTCGAAGCTTGACTGTGTGTCTATCTGTTTGCATAACTGTGTGCCCTGAAAGAGTTAAAATGCCACACCGGGAAGAGCATACCACACCTGGAAATCTGAAAGGGGGTGTGTCTGAGCTATGGAAGCCTGTCGGGGGCTGTATCATTGAATTCACCAGGGATTCCACCATCCGCTGTCTGGGCTACATCGTCACGCTGGGTCATAAGCAGTCAGGTCTGGGGCCACTCAGGGACTAAGGGATGACTGTGGTCAGAAAGAGTGTGCAGAATCCAGGGACACACCAGGTCAGAAAGCCAAGAGATCAATCTGAGAGCAACCTGAGTCAGGAAGCCAGGAAATCAAGCAGAGAGTGGAGGCAGAGGGAACAGCAAAGCAGTCTGGGATCAGGTTGAGTCCTGTAGCCCAGACACTTCCTGTTCCTATGGCCCATGGTCTCTTCAACAAATAGGCCTGTTCCTGTGTAAGGGTTTATATGGGGGAAGTGAAGGGTCAGCTGACCCTGGCCAGTTACTCTAGTCACAGGCTGTGGGCAGTAGGCCTGTGTGAAATGGCACTCTTCCATTTCGACTTGAGTTTTGAGGTTTTGACGGAACAGCATTTCATTTTGAATTTCATTTTGATTTGAAACTGCTGTTCCATTTTGCTTTGTTGAAACAGTGATGCTGTTTTGATGTTTCGCCCATTCGCTATAATGGGGAAGCTCGAAACAGCCTCTCTCATCCAGCAGGCAGATGGGGGCCCACAACCCCAGGAGGGCTGTGCCAGTCCTACCAGGGCTGTGGGCTCCTGATCTGCCTGCCAAATGAGGGAGGGAAGCCGGGTGCTGCCACCTGGGACCACAGAGCTGGGGAAGGTAACTGAGCCTGATCACTCAGTTCTCCTCCCCAGTGCTATGATCAGGCTGGGGAAAGGAACTCAGCCCAGCTGGGCTCAATTCCCATCCCCAGCACTACGATCAGGCTGGGCTGAGTTCCTTTCCCCAGCCCGATCATAGGGCTGGACAGGGGAACTGAGCGATCAGGCTGAGTTCCCTTCCCCAGCCCGATCACAGTGCTGGGGAGGGAAACTGAGCTTGGGCTCAGTTCCCTTCCCCAGCACTGTGATCAGGTTCCCACAGCTCAGCTGTGGGAGACCAGAAGAGCCGAGACTATGCTCCTGTCTGAGCCAAATGGGGCTGTGGAGCCGCTGGGAGCGCAGCCCTGGTTCTCCTTTGTCTCCCACCACCTGGCTGCTGGCTGCTTCAAAACTCAAAACATTTTGAAACTTTTGAAACATTTTGACTAGCCTTGCTCTGTTCTGAGGCTGTTTTGAACCCCTTCATTTCTATTTGATTTCTCTGTTTCAAGCTTGAAATGAGTTGAAACAGTGTTGAATCAAAACAGCCAGTGAAATTCCACACAGCCCTACTGGGCAGAGGTTAAGCCCTACTGGGGTCTTCAGGTCATCCTGGATCACTTTGGGCAATGAGCCAGATGGCTGAGCAACTGTGTTCACCAGATATACCACCTATCTACCAGACAAGGGACAATAAGTGGTTGCTAATCTTCGATAATCGTTTATTTAGCAAGTTAGGACTACTTTATTTTCTTCAAGTTCTCTGCAGTGATATGGAGTTTGACACAATAGAATTTTCCCCAAAGAAAGAGAAAAGAGGTCAAGTATTAGTACTGAGTCTTAAAAACCATATAACCTGACAAACAGAATAGAGATGGGGGCACTCAGACAAACAATGCACCAGAGAAACAAAAGTGCAGTCTTGCCATGGAAGACAGGCTACCTTGCAAAGCAGGACCAACCAAAGTCAAAGGAAGCTGACTGGCTGAAGGGAGTCAGAGAGAAGTAAGAGGTAACAGGAGAGGAGGTAAGAGGAGTAACTTTCAGAAGGCACTGGTTTGGTCACAATCTAGAATGCAGGCTAAAATGTGGCTTTTAGTTTATAAACTTTTTACCTAAAGTTGAATTTATTATCCAGAGATTTCCTGAGTCTGAGAAAGTTGGACCCATTAGAATAAGAGGCCAGGATTTTTTTATCACTTAGGATTTGACTCTTTCAAAAAAAAAAAAAATATCTTACAAAAACATGTGGAAGTGATTAAATGTTACCACTGACTTAAGTTTTTCCTACTGACTAGCAGCCAAGTGGCTGTGTATTATGTAAGTGGCAATTCACAAGTTTATTAGCAAACCGTTGATATCTGTAAGATGAGCAAATTTATAATAGATCGTAAGTGTTCTGTAGTGAGATTTACATCTTATAAGGAGAACCATTAAACTTAACAGTTGAGTGTGCTGTGGTTTCCCCTCCACTCCACAAAATTGAGATAGTAAGATCAGTACAGGACATTTTGTTGACGTAAAATTGCTTAAATTTTTGTGTGATCTAGTTCTAGTGGCTTCAAAGGATGATTTTGATTCAGTGTTACTAAATAGCTGTGTTAATGTGTTTCATATGTAATTTTAAGAAATAAGCAAACTCACCAAATTTTTACCACTTCTTCAGTAATTTTTTTGTCACCAAACATCAGGTTTTTATACCTTGGATATTCCATAGATTAAACTTCTTAAAAGGTTTTTCTTTTACTGTTATTTTTTCTTTTTTTATAGGTTTATTTTTTACCCTACTAACCAACGTGTTGGATAACAAACATGCAAAACAAGGAAAGCATAACAAATCAAAAGAACTTAACAACTGAAATGAAAATAGAATGGGAATAACCTCAAGTACAGCCTGCCCATTATATTGTATGCCATTCTTTATTTTTCAGAAGAAACTCTAATCAATAATGTTATATTTCACACATTTACATCAGCAACTGGAGCGTAAAAAATCACTGTGGGAACAAGGATAAAAATCTATTTCAGCTGTATTTTATCTTGTATAAAGTAATAGCCTGCTAAACTAAATGATACTGATATGGCCAAGTAGCATGGATTTGTTCATAAATCCTATTGAAAAGAAGCATCCCTGGAGAAAGGGTTAAAGAACCTCTAGATCCTCCAGAGCATCTAGTTTAGTTAATGGAATACTTTTGTGAGAACAATAGAGAATGTCAAGTAAGATGGGCTATTAACTGCAGACATACAAGACTTCTGTCTCAATTCATTGTATAAAAGGCGGAGTAATGACTTACATGTGGGCATAAGTGGGTGTAAGTGGGAAGTGTAATTTTCACACTGGTGCGATATTTCACTGCAACTATGATCTTAATTACCTGTTATTTGGGGTTGAGAGTTTGAAGGAGGGAGTGTGTGGGAGGAACAGGGGTGTGACTTCTGTGTATTTTCCCGTTCTGACAAGGATACTCAGGCAGTGGTGGTATGAATCATTAGTCTGGTAAATAACTGCCCATGAGCCAGAACACTGTATACACCAGCTCCAATGCCCACATTTGCAGAAAATGAATATGGACCCTCAGCAGCCATTATAGAAACATTTTAAAATGTTAAAATTATAATAAGAATTATTCAAGTAACTTGACAGTGTTACCAGGAAGCAGGTTCAAATTACACTTCAACTCTTGAGGGTGGTCTGTGGTGGTGGCAGCTGGAAGGAGCCACTGCCACCTGGGCTGCTTAGAAAAGCGCAGGGCAGGCTGGGGGCTGACTGGCCCACAGGCAGCTTCTCATCTCTTATGCGGGGGCTCAGCCCCACCCTGAGCTCCCCCATAATTCAGCCCCTGCCAGGAAGTCCACAACAGGAATAGACAAGTATCCAAGTGCCGGGGTGCCAGCTGTCATCATGGTTACCAGTGGAATAATTAAGAGCCTCCACATATTTATTTAGACAGTGTTTGTTTGGTTTCTGTTCCTGTATGGCTGCATAATAATTAGTAACTCCCTAAAAATGTCTCTTTTTATTCCTTAGCAATGTAGCTGTATTATGCAAAGCAGGCCTTTTATCTCCTGGGCAAACACCAGTATTGTAGCTAGTCTCATTCATACCAGTAATGACAGTAACTACCAGTTAAACTTTACACCTACATAGGGGCCTAATTTATACTCAAAGATTTAATGCAATAGTTGTTTGCATGCCAGGAACTGAATTGGGCCCTTGGGCCCAGATCTCAGTCACACCAGGGTAGGAGTTATACCAGTAAAGAGTCACTTTTTCATAAGATAGTCTGTAAGTGGAGTAAGTGAAACTGACCTAACAGGGTAAGATAGCTTGGAAAAGAAAGTGTTACAATTTGAGTAGTACTTGAGAAAGAGATGGGTCTGATTCACCTTAGAGCCTTGTCACCCACTAAACATGGCACATGTTAAATACACTTAAACCATGGGCATCATGCTCAAGCAGGAAAATACGCTAAGTATACCCAGTGTACCTGCTCCCCACCTGTCATGAGGCCATATACTGGTTGGCTGAACTTTATAAAGAAGTACTTCAATTACCAGCTGAGGAGATGTTGGTTGGTGGTGGAGTATGCTTTTAGGGTGCTGAAGGTCCCCAGTAGTCCACCTTCTGGCTGAGGAACATTCCTAGCTTCAGGGCCACCACCTGCTTCCACCACAATATATGTGGGGTGACAGATGAGCCCTTACTGGACACTGAGATGTCTCTGGATGGACCCATGTTGATTGAAGTCCCTGGCACTTCGGAAGATGCCCAAGCTAAAGAGGCATTCCCAGCTGAGTGTTGTGGATGGACCCACCATCAGGCTATCCTGATCAAGAAGGTTTTGGCCAATTACTTTCTAGGACAAGATTCTGCTGGGAGGGAGAGGGTGCAGGGAGGGGACCTCTGAGCAACAGTGCACTCTTCATTTGCCACACTGCACCTCTGATGTTATTATTTACTTCTCAGTAAACATTTTTTATACTGTAGCCCAGGTAACTCAGGTATATATTCCCCTTCTCCAATTGAAGGGGATTGTTAGCTGGCAGCTGTGCTGTGGGGAAACTGCAGACTGCTCAGTTTCCTTCTGTCCCTATAGAACCAGGCCAGGACAGTCAGGGGACTTAACTATATACAAATTTATTTAAATTAACTTATCACAAGGAAAAGAAACATGGATATAAACATATGTACTATATACACACACACACACACAAACACACACACATACATATACACACATATATATACATACACATATATATACACACACGTGTGTGTGTGTGTGTGTGTGTGTGTGTGTGTGTGTGTGTGTGTGTGTATTTAAACAAGTAACATAAACAATACCTTCTGGGTAAATGCCATAAAACCTTATACCAGTGCTCCAGATACAGGTAAGTATCTGATCTGAAAGAGATAAACCCCAAAATAAACATAATCCCAAGGGGAAACCCCAATGCCCTTGGGCTTTTCCCAAGCCCTACAAGGAAACTGGTAACTTTCCGGGAGCCCTCCCACTAGGACCTCCCCTTTCAGGAGTCCTTAACTAACTGGGGGGGACTCCCCCTCCCATGTGGGAATCCTCTTTTCCCTGCAACTCATGGCTCCCAGGCCTGGATGGTGGCCCTCATCCTCTGTGTCAAGCTGCTCTCTCGCCTGCAGTGGGCCGGGGGGGGCGGAGGGTCTCTCTTCCCTGGAACAGGGCTCCTCTGTGCAGGACTTCAGGGGCCTCTGGCTCGGCCCTGTCTGCTGGCTCAGTATCCCAAGCACCGTCTATCTCCCCGGACTCACATTTTTGCAATGGGTCAGAGGCCTGGGCTGCCTTGTGCAGCACCAGGCTTGGTCCGCTCCTGGTCCCTCTATGCAGCACCTCGTTCTGGGGGTTGAGGACCTGAGCCGTCCAAGTGCTTCAAAGGTGCCTGTGCACCGTGTCTCTGGCCACACACCAGAGGTTGCAGACCTGAGCCACGTCACACATCTCCAAGGGTCTGGACGCTGTGCGCTGTGGTGCACACTGGGAGCCTAGCTGCTGGAGCTGTCTGCCATTCCCCACTGATGGAAGTCTTCAGGGGCACTTCTGGGCTACTGCTTCACCCTGCTGAGCAGCTCTCCTCAGCTTTTCTAAGCCCTGCTCTTCTCTCTTCTCTGTCTTGGATGTGTTCTCCTCCTGGTGGGCATGCAGCTCCTTTTATACAATCGAGGGCTTCACCCCTGAAGTCTTCCAGACCTTAGTGTTGCAGCTTTCAATCAGGTCCGGGGTGGGGGGACTCTTGTCCCTCTCCCCTCAGGAAAGGGGAGTAACTTAACTTCTCTTGCTGCCTTCTGATTGGTGGATGGGCTCCACCAATCAAAACAGCAAGTTTTCAAGCCTGGGACTCAACCCAAGCTCGGAAAGGCAAGCCTGCTACAATACTAACCAGAGGGCTTGACACTCCCTGTTGTCTGTGGGAGATTTGGGGTGGGGCCTGGCATGGGAAACCAAAGCACATACTCATGTAATGGTGAGACTGAGAGGGCTGGCTGGGAGGGGGAAACCAAGGCACAGGCAACTGGGTGGGTTGGGTTTGTGAATGACTCAAGTTAAGGACTGGATAGGACGCACACAAGGAACTCATTTCATAACTGCAAAATGTATTTCTTCAAATAATTCTGAGACTGTGCAAACAATGCTAACCCTTGTTTATGGGTCTCCCTGCTGGATAGGAAGGTCCCTTGGAGAGCCATGGCATGGAAGCATGCCTTCTTTCCTTTACATATTTCAAGAAAACTTCTCCCATTACCATATTAGCCTCTGACTTCTACAGATGGAAAAGGATGAGGATCTTGCTCTGCTTGATCTAGAATTGGCTGACAATTTTCTGAACATATTTCTATCCCAAAATACCAATTTGCTAGTCTTCTTCTCCCCTAGCCCTGTACTTCATGTTTTTGTTATATTCTTCTACTTCATGACAGAATAGTAATGCTAACAAGACACAGTGGGCCCAACTCTTCTCCCACTGGGCACATCCAGACAAGCGTGGACGTGAGGTATGTGGTGCCACAGACTTGCCTGCAGGTGGGGGAGAGGAGGAGGGATTTGATCCAAGGATATCCCAGGGTCAAAAAGACCCACACCAAATAAAAACAGGTTGGTGCACATAATGGCAGCATGCACAGCCCAAAACCAGAACCTGGCTAGCTGGAGTCATGCTCCAGTTGTCAGCCAGGCTCCCTGCTGCAGGAATGCTGTGGCTGCAACTCCTGGAGGCACCCAGGACCCCAGGTAAGGCTGCTGGGGGCAGCATAGTTGCTGGCCCCAGCCTCCTCTATCCCACCAGGGGTACCTGCCATGTGCTAGACAGCACATGGCCCAGGCGTTCCCCAGGGACAAGTAGCAGTGACACAAGGTGTGCTGTTACTACTTGTTCCTAGGAAACACACATTCCTGCTCACGGGGACATGCCCACTGAGTTCAACTGAATCTATGCCATTGACTTGAATGGGAATGGGGTCTTTCCAGTATTTCCTGTAATGCAGACATTTTGCAGTTTATTTTTTTATATTTCTTCAGGCATCAAACACAAACACCTCATTCACACATCTCAGTCAATGGAAACCCTAGCTATCATATTTTCCACACTCAAAATTGCCCATACTTCTGAGCAATATATATTAAGGGTAGTAATTTAGAAGAATCCAATTTTTTAAATTTCTCCCAGCAGAGATACTTTGGCCTGGTTTCGACAGGTTTTTTATATGTTATTCATTTAGTATATCACCCTTTGTAAATTTAAGGGAGAAAAAGAAGCCCTGCAAATAAAATGTACTACGAGTCAATGCTGTTTGAAGGGAATGTATTGTAATATTAGCTCTGCATCCTCTTTTATATAATAAAAGTGCTGACAGCACTTTGATGTGAAAAAATGAGATACAGTGAGCTGAAGAACTAATATGAAAGGAATGACATGCTTTAAGCTGGAACTATGCAGGGAAACACACAGAGTAATGACAGCTTCACACAACATCTAATTTGATTCCTTTTCCCCAGCACAGTGGAATCCTTAAACCACAGCCATCTGTTAATGAGCAGGGAGTCTTGTGAACAGAGGTCACCTTTTTCCCAGATTTTTTAAATCACTCCACCTCAGTTATAATACTATTATCTATTATCTCCATGTCTCCAGCAACATTTTATTCTTTGGTAGTTTTACTTCCAGACAAAAGCCAAAGGGAGAGAGAGAGACAGAGACAGACAGACAGACTTTTTGACTCTTTATAAAGGTTTACTAAGTGGAAAAGGGGGTAACAATCCAACAAAAAAATAAAACACTGCCCACACATGGGCCCAAGTTCAACAGACAGAGCCTAGGGCTATGGCTCGCAAGCCCTACCCTCACCATCTAAAAAACAAAAACAGATAGTATAACAGCCTGTAACCCAGGAAGGGGCAAACAGTATCACAGCAGGAGGACTAACCAGATGCCCTCAACACTGCAGAGCACCTCCTGGAAGGCGGGTACTGTCCGCTGAAGGACCTCATGCTCAAATTACAATGTTGGGCATGCCCAGACCAAGAACTGAAAGAGTCATAGGGCATCATCAGAATTGGCTGCAGTAGGCCGGTTCCTGAGACTCCTCAGGATGGCCATCTTGGCTTGGCCAAGCAAAAAGCTGGCCAGGCAGATGACACCACCCTCTGCCACCCGGTATGGGAATGAGAACAGATAGGTAGCCTCCAAGAAGTCCAAGTCTAGCACCTGTAGGAAGGTGCTGAAGGCAACAAAGAGTGGCAGCAACCAGGAGCACCTGAGGAAGGCATGGAATAAATCCTCTTCTACCTTCCCTGGGCAAAAGGGACAGGCTGTTTATGTAGCCAGGTCCATGTAATGGACAAGAGTACTGGTGGCCAGTATGCAATGCAGAAATCGCCACGGGAGGTCACCAGTCTCATTGGCGAAAGGTAGCTTAAAGTGTGAAACATGCAGGGTAAGCTGGTGCAAGGGCCAGTGCCACTAGGTGCCGCCTCTACATCATGTCAGGTCAAGAAGCAAGGATGCAAGCATGGCAGACATGAACCACCCATGTGTAAAGGTCTTTCTGGGGGAGCACATCAAAGCAAATCACAGCATCACTGTTGGAAGACATGGGAAGAGTCATTAAAGTGCCAGGCCCACTGCCCAGATCATCATCAACAGCTGGGACAATGGGCAGTGGTGGAAAGGGCTCTTTGGAGTCATCTCTGGCATGGATGTCCTGCTGTGCTCAGAGGTAATCCTCAGTGACAGCCACTGCCTCAGCTGGGTGGATGGCTTGCACATTCCCCAAGAGATGGGCAGCGCAGCAGACCAAATGCATGCCCAACTGGGCAGCCAGAGACTCGGCTAACAGCCAGTCCGATTGGGCCATATCGAGAAGGTGGCCTAACCGGACTGTACATGACTGGATGAAAGAGTCAGCAAGGCTATCAGAACCTGCCCATAGTAGGAGAGATTGGACAAGCACCAGCTCCACCGCCGCAGGCATGCCTCCACCTCCTCACTAAGGCCTTCCCAATTCCAGGCTGGGAAGACCAATGAGCCGAGGAACACCCCCAGAACTTTAAGGCCCTTGCGCTGCCAGGTGAGACCTCCGGGCAGGTCTGGGGGAGGATGATTGGTCCATGCACAGAGGAGTAGGGCATTGCTCTTAGGCCAGTTAACACATGCTGAGGAAGCACACTCATAAGCATGCTGACAGTCCACCAGCGACTGGACATTACCCCGGGTGCTGAGGAGAATGATCACATCATCTGCATATGCCATCAGCCTAATCGGTGGGCTGCCAAACCAGAGGTCAATGGAAAAATGAGGTCAGTCAGGCACCATCACAGTGTGTGAAGCAGAGGCTCAATGACCAGAGAGTACAGAATTCTTGAGAGGGGACTGCTCTAACGGATGTCCTTGTGAGCTGGGAATAGAGCACAGGGCACACTGTTCACTTTGATGAGATTGGAGACATCTCAGTACAGTACCTGAAGGGTGGAAGTGAACAAGAGTTGGAAGCTAAAGGCTTCTAAGGGTCTGAAAAAGGTGGTTGTGACTAACCCTATCAAAGGCTTTCCCCTGGTCCAAGGAGATGAACCCAACATTCAGGCGAAAGAGGTCTGCGGCTGTCACCAGGTCACGAAGCAGGAACAGATTGTCCTGAATGGTCCTTCCCGGCATTCAATAGCTTTCTTTGGGACCGATGACTGACAGTATGCAGTAAATTGGCTAAGGCTTTGGGCAGAATCTTGTAGTCGGCACACGGAAGGGATACTGACCACCAGTTCTTAATGCAGCTGAGGTCACCTGTCTTTGGTAGCAGGGTCAGAACCACCTGGCAACAGCTGACAGGCAGGATCTTATCAGCGAGGCTGTCATGAAACACATACAAGAGGTAGGAGCCAAGGAGGGGCCAGAAGGTCTTATAAAACTCAGCAGACAACCCATCGAGCCCTGGGGCTTTGCCTGTGGTGAGGCTCCCACCGCAATCGTGAGCCCCTCCAGGGACAGCTCTTACTTAAGTTCATTGGCTGCCATTGGGCACAGCTTGGGAAGGCCATTGTGTAAGTGCCTAGTGGACTCTGGGCAGAGAGGTTCAGGTGCAGAGGTCCTGATAGAAGGCTGCAGTGTGACGATGGATCTCAACAGGATCCATGAGTATCTTGAGATGGTCAAGGATTTCTGTGGGGCCTGTCACTTTTCCAAGTTGAAAAAAAACTGGGTCGGGGCATTAGCCTCTGCCAGCTCTTGGCAGTGGGCATGAATCCTCGCACCTCAGTCTGCGCCCTTTGGCAGCTCCCACAGGTGCTTCTTCTGAAGCTTAAGGCTCTCAAGTAGTCCTGTGTCTCCACCAGCATCACATAGGGCTGCCTTGAGCATTGTTACATCCTCCTCCAACCCCTGGACATGGTGGCAGAGTTTGTTTCTTGCCAGCTGTGTGTATTGCTAGCAGAAAGCTCTGATCTGTGTCTTCCCCACATCCCACCATTGCTTCCAGGAGGAAAAGGTGATTCTCACAGTCTCCTATGTCCACCAGAAATAGGCAAAGCATTCACAGAAGTGAGACTCTTGCAGCAAGCTGGTATTAAAACACCAGTATGGTGCCTGGGGACAAGCTCTGACAAGAAGACTCAGCTCACAAATAAGACTGTGATCTGAGAGTCCGGATGGAATAATACAGCTGCCAGATGGAATAATAGAGGACTGGCAGGCAATGCTTGGATGATATAGAAGCAGTCAAGGCATGCCATGGCAATCACACTAGTGGTTGCCTTTATCCAGCTGTACTGCCTTGTATCAGCATGGAAATAGCAGCAGATGTCAACAAGGTCCCCTGCCTCCAAAGCTGTCCACAACAACTGGGCTGAGAACAGATGGGGTTCTGGCCCATTCTGGTCACACCGTTCATCGAATGTGCAATTAAAGTCCCCACCCAAGAGGAGAAGGTTGTCACCGTTGGCTGCACTCCTCAAAAAGTCAGCCAGGGTCTCAAAGAAGGCTGTCCATTCTCACCTGGCAGTGGGAAGATGTTAATTAGGAGGAGGTGATGTTGTGCTAACATGATATAAGCAGTTAGCAGGTGGCCAGGGATGAACTCTTGGGTTACTGCTGAGTCAGGCATTAGCTGTGGCAATAAGAGGATTGCAACTCCTGTGCTGAGAGAGGTGCCATGGCTCAGGACCACATGGCCCTTCCAGGCGGCATGCCAGTTGGCTTGACTAGCTGCATCAGTATGAGTTTCTTGCAGAAAGGTGACATCTAGCTTCTTCTGGTGTGGGAAATCAAAGAGTACCATCTGCTTCAAAGAGTCTCTGCAGCCATTGGGATTGAGTAAACCAAAGGTTGTGGCAGCTGTGCGTGAAGGGTATAGAAAAGGGGGACAGACAAAGCCAAGGGAACAGAGAGGAGCAACGGAGAGAAGCAAGCATGCAAGACAGGGAAAAAACCAGGTCTACAGCTTGCCAGCCGGCGCTGCTCACAACAAACACCCGACATCGCCCACAAGCTTGCTTAGGTGAAAACTATATTGCTGCATCCCCACAATGGAGTAGAATGTCGCTGCTGCAGCCTTAGCAGACACCACAAATGTCTCAG